CAAAACCCCAAAACCCCAAAACCCCGCAATCAAGAAGTATAGTGGTTTTTATATTAATGAATTTATCAAAAATAAAAAAGTTTAATAGGGATTATTAGCTTTGTCTAAAATGGAAGGTAAAAATTTATTAATAGCAGATGGGATGCTGTAGAAATTGACTTAGTACATGTAACAGCAAATGGAACAACCAATTCTTATCCCCTATAAAGTAACTATATAAATAAAAAAAATCGTTTGATTAGATGATTAAGAACATTCTGAAAAAACTTCCTAAGGACAGGACAGAGGACGATATTAAAAGTCTCGAAATATACTTGTCAACAAATCAGTTTTTTGAGAAACTTTAGCAGTAATGTGATAAGGAAGCACTACATGAAGCCATGCGTGCTTTGTAAATCTAGTGCTTAAGGACTAACTCAATAGTGTTTTAGTTTGGAGATTTTGGAGATGAGTTTTTTATAATTCTAAATGGCAAGGTTAGTGTTTAGGTGCCAACTTAGATAAACTTAGTCTGCAATCAAAGAGATCTTATGAGCTATCTTGTTGAAAATTTCGATCTTATGATGTGGAGAAAGATTGAAAACGGCGAGAATCTTAAGAAGTCAGCCGAATATGAGAAATTGGCGAGGCAAATGAAGATTCAGACAGAGAGCTAGCCAGCGGTAACAGTTCCTAAAGAAAGTAGTTCTAGAATAGTAACAGACAGCTCCAGCAAGTCATTTATGGATGCTCCTGTTTAGTAAACTGAAAAGGAGATTAAGCTCTCCTCACTTTAGTATAATTCAATGGTTTATAGTGAGGTTATATAGTAATACAGCGTTTGGATATTGAAGGAGGTTGCGTAACTGGGCAAGGGAATGAGCTTTGGAGAACTTGCCCTGATCACTGCTAAGCCTAGAGCAGCAACTATAGTGTGTGCTGAGGACACCGATCTTGCAGTACTTGATAAAAACAACTATGAGAGAGTAGTGGGTAAGGCGCTTCGGAGAAAAGTTAATGAAAAGGTAGAATTTCTACAGTAGTTTCGTATTCTATCACATATTAATGAAACTCAAGTCCAAAGATTAACATATTATCTTAAGGAGGTAAAATTTAACAGAGGTCATGTAGTCTATAAGATCGGACAGAAGGTGGATGGGATTTACTTTATAAAGGAAGGGGAGTTTGAATTAATAAGGGAGATAAACGTGCACAAGCAGATGGAAAGCTACATTGCAAAGGCTAGACAGACTGACATGACGATGGGCTAGAAATTGGTGCTTAAGAAACAAACTAAATTAAAATAAGATCCAAGTGTCAACAAAATTAGAGTTGCTATTTTAGGCAAAGGAGAAATATTTGGTATTGAAGAAACTTAAGTAGAACTGGGAGACGCAAGATTGAACACAGTAATCTGTTACAAAAATGATTCCCTAGCTTACTACATGTCGCTCTAAGATTTCAAAGAAAGAGTCGTAGGCGATAAGGTACTTCAAGACATTGAAGTGGAGAATTCACTCAAAAAGTTATTCTATAAATTTAGAAAGGCTCAAATCAAGATATTTGGAGAGTAGGAGAGGGACCGATATGGAGTGTCCGAGCCAGATTACTCTCATCCTCCTCCTGTGCTCAAACTTAAGGACTATATTTAGAATCAAAATCAAACAAACTACTAGAAAATAATTAAGGAGCATCTCAAGAACAAGGGTTCGCTTCATAGTAGCTTGAATGAGGAAATGATCAAGAATGATGAGAATTTTATGAGCAAGTTCAGGAAGCATTAAAACCGTCTCAAACCGATTTTAAAAGATAGAGATATCAAGACTCAAAGTTCACTTTCTCCTGAAATTAGTCACAGGGAAAAGTATCGTGATTTGAAATCTAAGTCAGTCTAGAAGCAAACTCAAATAGTCGACCTCAGTTCTATTAATAAGTCTCCTATAAAGCCTAAATTCGAGCAACCAGCTGAAGAAAACCTCAAAGTAGATTTAGAAGAAACTAAGAAGCTATTGAACAGAGTTTCAAGTGGCTCATTTTTCAAGGTAATTACAGAGACTTTGAAATAAGATGAAAAAACAAACAACATCGACAACACAAAAGCAGTGATTAGAGTTATTGATAGCATCAAGAATCAAAATGAATAGATATTTATAAGAAGGACAAAGGTGTATGAAAATGGACTTGATAAGCTGGATCATATAGTATACCAAAACCTTAAAGGGAAAAAACTTTAGAATAAAAAAGGCGATAAAGCATCACTTTCTACTAAATTCAAGCAAAAAAGTCATTTTGACAAAGCCTCTCATCACGTAAGAGGTAGTGTTGAAACTGATTATAAAGACATTGATGAGAAGACTTAAGAAACTTAACAGGATATAATGGATACTACTGAAAATACTCTATCTAAATCAAAGCTTATTAATGTATAATCACACAAAGTCCTACCAGAAAATGATGAGTCCAACAAGTCTGCTCATAATAAGGGAAATATCATTAATCATAGCTCTATAGAAGCTATAAAGGATCCTAATTTTTCCCAAGCATAATTAGCTAGACTTTAAGAACAGCAATATCAACTGCCAAAGATCAAGGTATATTAAGAAAAAAAGTTCAATTTACTTTAAAATCAGAGCAACCTCAATAATACTAGTATGTTAAACCAAGACTACGGAGGCGTTCCAGTTGGTGCAAGTTCTTAATATTATAATAACAAATCTAATCTCATTTCTGAAGAAAAGTTCTTGCCAATAAATAGCTATAGAGAACTTGAAAATAACAATCATTTCCTACCCTCAAGTGTAAATTACTCGTTTGTACAGAAAATGAAGAGAAAATCACAGTCAATGCATAAAAAGACAAGTAGTCTCGGATCAGCTACTCAGCAATAATAAGAATTTACAAATTAATAAGCCAAGATCAAGGCTCTTTTCCAAAAATATCTTCAAGACAATCAATCTTATGTTGCCAATAGTGAAAGCTAAATATTCGATTAGAGTAGTTATGTAAGATAAATGAAGCAAAGAAGCAATCATAGGAAAGCAAACAGCAAATCAGCTATGAGCGGCAAAGAGGAATTGATTTAATTCAGAAACTAAATTATCACATAGTTTAATAATAGCTAGATCAGATTGTCACTCAAATAGAAGCATCATTGAGTAAAATGATTGAATAATAAGTTATATTTATAGATAATTTCTTGAATTCTTGATTTTATAAATAGGTGATTGAAGGGGTTTTGGGGTTTTGGGGTTTTGGGGTTTTGGGGTTTTGGGG